TTTTTTTTTTTTTTGCTTTTATTTTTTTACAAGAAAAACTTATGATTGGATAGGGCAATGAATACAGGAAACACATGTGAGATGTTAGGGTAAGTCTGTGATGCCGGAAAGGTATGGCATTGGAAGAATTTTAAGGTGAATTTTGATGAATACCACCTGATCGGTTACCACTTTAATGATACTGGTTTATTGGTTACAAGTCTTTCAGGTATCATGTCTTTCCACTATCATTTGAACCTGAAATGTGAAGGTTTCAACAGTTGGAACTAACCAATGTTGTAACTTGTAGGATAGGACTGGATGGTTGGACTGTCAGTACTGGGAACCAACAGCCAACAACGGTTCTGGTTGGCTGGTTCTTAGAAATGTTGACTTCGTCAAACTTACAATATCTATAGGTTTCTGAACCACTGAGTGTTTACAGGGTCTTAGGCATGATTTTCAAAACCGGACTGGACCAGACGGTTGGACTGGAAAAACCGGGAACTGGTCAAGTGACCGGTTTTGGTTTTTCCCAAAACTGGATTTTCTTCAAAAACCGTTGGTTTTGGTCAGTAAATCGCTGACCCGGCCGGTTAACCATTCGAATAGTTTTGACCGTTTTTTATTTTTTTTATTTTTTAATTTTTTTGTCAGAATGGGTCGGGCCGATCATTCGGTTTGAACGGTTGGACTGTTTGACCCGATAACTGGACCCCTGATCGGTTCGTTTTTTAAAACCATGGTCTTAGGTGTCTTTAAGTTCAAAAATAATAACCCCACCTAACATATCTAGTTTATTTTTGGTAAAATAAATTGAGTTTCATTGAACTGAAAAAAAGAAGATGACAAACAGATAGAGTTCGTCAGTTCGAAACTTGGGATCCACCCAATTAGCCATTCCAACCGGCATAGCATCTATGAAAATGCCCGACTCTTTTAAACCTCTACGAGCTGGACTATGCGCCAAAAAATTTGACAAAATTTTAAAATAAAAGAGTTTTGGTTTCGGGCGGGTATCAAACTATCAATACTGTGAACCATGCGTATATGTGAGCCCCTCTTAATTGTTGATTTGAAAGATAATTACAACCATTTTCATATATATTTTCTTTTGCCTGAGCAAGTTTTTTCGGTTACTTTTATTTGAACAAGTAGAACTATTCAACCCATGACCCGCACGGGACACCGAAAAGGTTATCCTTATCCATCAAGTTTAAGGGTCCGTTTGGCTTTCTGTCAGAATTAGAATCAATTTAAAAAATCCTTTCAAATTGGAATTGGAATGGTCTATTCGCCCATCTGTTTTGTTCAGATGCGAATTAAGATCAAAATTGAAAATGACTGAAGTGAGATTCTTGTTCCGAAGGGAGGAGGAGGAAATAACCATTTTTTTAAATGCAAAAATGTCATTCTACCAAGAATGAGAATCGGATTTTGATTCCCTCCAACCAAACATTAGAATCCGAATGGATCATTCTGATTTTAATTTCAGACCCCTATTCTCACAAACCAAATGGACTCTAATAATAGCATAGCTATTAACCTTAACTGCTCCGACCAACCTCATGATTTCAAGAATTGCATTCTTGCATCAGATTTGATCCTGGGCTTGAGCTTTATCTACATTACAGACTTACATTTTAAATTTCCATCACCCACTTATTTAACTTTGGCGAGAACCAAAATTTTCACGAAACCATAGAGCGTCCTGCAAAGGCTGCAATGGTGCAGGGTTCCCTACTTAGAGAGAGCGACTGGCAATGATTTCAAAGTTTTTTTTTTTTTTTTTTTCTGAATGAATATTGTAGATGTAATGAAGAGATGGTAGGAGAAAGAAACATCAACTAAAGTGATTGATGTTTAATTGGATTAGTATAGAGGAGAGCAGATAAAGTTGGTAGGAAATCCGAACTGGTTTTAGAAACCCCAAGTAATATTGTTGAAGATCCATTTATGGAATCCTCTATAGGAGGGCAGTCTAAGCTTTCCTCCGCCTAAAACTATTATCTTGGGACTCCCATAATAACCACAAGATTTGGAAGGAGAACTGCTTTATCTCCTCCCAATTAAGTCCCAAGTACTTCATCGCTGCGCATGCTCATGTTAAGAAGAATATTAATTATAAAATTTGAAAATGCATGGCTACCTCACACAGAGAACTGCTTTTAACCACAGGATTGGCGTTGTAGACAGATGAGGCCTTGCAAGTTGCAAGTTGCAAGTTGGGGGGGGGCTCGATTGTGTCTAGCAGACGCTTACCATAAACCAACCATCTTTATCTTGTTTGTCGCATATGGTTTCTTCCGAATGGGACGAAAATAAAGGAGTCTATTGGCTGTGATGCAACCGCGTAGACGTAGTTAGTTTATTGGTTGAAGATAGACATGAATCCCATTGTTTAGTGACTGCTCCGACCAACCGTTTGTGGTCAGGTAATTTACCTAATTAATTGTCAACTCCATTACCCCCAATAAAACAGTTCAAAGGGTAGTTGAAGAAATGAAAAAGAAGATAGAAGGCCTATTCTGTTGGAATTCTAATCTAATGTACTAAATCAATCCCATTGTTTTGCAAATTGGAGCAATAGAAGTAAACAACTTTAACCTGGGGTATATGGTATTTACTATTTAGTGAAAAATATGGGTCAGTTGCATGCATCAGATGATGAATAGGAACGATCTTGTGCCTTACACGTAGCAGTTACGGACAAATGGATGTCCATGTTCTCCCATCTTCTCTCATACAATTATGGAGTATGTGGTAATAAAATAACCAGATTTTTAGTGGAGAAGACGAAACCTTGGACTCTAACCCCAAAACCCACTTACAGTGTCGAGAGGCCTCCCGTTTTTGTACACAATTTATCCCAGAAGAGCACGCGCCCTCGGAGGCTGCCACATGTCATCGGCCAATCTCCATTGTGTGGCCGTTAGGAATTCGTAAGCTGAGCCACGGGATTTCAAATGGCTCATCTCAAGAGTCAAGACTCTCAACAACACTCACAAACTCAGCTTCTATTATAAAGCCTTTACTGTTCGTTACTTTGTTTCCTCAGACAAACCCTGCGGTTTCAGTTCGTTCGTGCTCTCTTGGGCGCCTTGGTTCCATCTTACCGGCCCGTAGGGTTTCGTACGACAAAATGGCTACCGCTGTCCCAACCGTCGGAGCTGTTAATAGGGCACCGGTACAGTGGTTTTCCCGCCCTTTCTCCATTTTGTTCTTGGGTTCTTCTTGCTCCATGGTTGCTTGTTATCTCCCTTCTACATTGTTTTAGTTGTACATCTATTTTGCTTATGGGTTTATGTATTTGGTTTTAAAAGATTCGAATTCCTAAACTTTGCTTTATTTTCTTTTTCACATTAAGGAATTTTGTGTTTTCAAGGGTGATCATTTGAATTCAGAGCCTTTGACTTGATTTATGAGAATTAGGTTTTCTGGGTTTTATTTAAATTCGGTATAAAGACGGGGTTACCTTCGATGCAGTTGAGCTTGCACAGCTCTGGTGCTGGAACATCAGTGCCTAGCTCAGCCTTCTTCGGAAACAGTTTGAAGAAGGTAAATTCTGGGTTCAGTCAGCCAAAGGTTTCATCGGGAAACTTCAAGGTGGTCGCGGAAGTCGATGAGACAAAGCAGACCAACAAAGACAGATGGAAGGGCCTTATTTACGACATATCCGATGACCAGCAAGACATCACCAGAGGAAAGGGTATGGTGGATTCCCTCTTCCAAGCTCCCCAGGATGCTGGAACTCACTACGCCGTCATGAGTTCCTACGAGTACATCAGCACTGGTCTTCGACAGTACGTGATCCTTTTTTTGTTTGCATTCGTGCAAATGGGTATTTCTTGATCATCACATTTCAGGAACCAGGGGCTTCAGTCTTTAATCACAAGCTGGTAAAATCTGTTGCAGATACAATTTGGACAACAACATGGGCGGATTCTACATAGCTCCTGCTTTCATGGACAAGCTTGTTGTTCACATCACCAAGAACTTCATGACCTTGCCTAACATCAAGGTCACGTACTATCTCTACTTCTCCCAAGTTCCGTTTCTGGTTCTTTTTTTTTTTTTTTTTTTCTCAAGGACCGAAATATTTGAACCATTCCATTGAATCAATGCACTACAGGTTCCACTTATCTTGGGTATTTGGGGAGGCAAAGGTCAAGGAAAATCCTTCCAGTGTGAGCTCGTCTTTGCCAAGATGGGAATCAAGTGAGTAAATCGTCCTCTGTCTCAGTGTCTTGTCCTGTTTAGGCTATTTTATATAGTAATGCTTATAACGAATTGGGCATTATCCTAAATCTATGGAGGAATTGAGGTTTAAAATAGAAGTTCATTCTGGCACGCTTACTTATTAGAGCTTTTATGGTAACGGAATTTCAGCCCAATCATGATGAGTGCCGGAGAGTTGGAAAGTGGAAACGCCGGAGAGCCGGCGAAACTGATCAGGCAAAGGTACCGTGAGGCAGCAGACATCATCGCCAAGGGAAAGATGTGCTGCCTCTTCATCAACGATCTTGATGCAGGAGCGGGTAGGCTTGGTGGAACCACCCAATACACAGTGAACAACCAGATGGTGAACGCCACCCTCATGAACATTGCTGATAACCCAACAAACGTTCAGCTCCCCGGTATGTACAACAAAGAGGAGAATGCTCGTGTGCCCATCATCGTTACTGGTAACGACTTCTCCACATTGTATGCGCCTCTCATCCGTGATGGTCGTATGGAGAAATTCTACTGGGCTCCCACCCGCGAAGACAGAATTGGGGTCTGCACTGGTATCTTCAGGACCGACAATGTTCCCAAGGACGACATCGTCAAACTTGTTGACACCTTCCCAGGACAGTCCATTGGTAAGTAAGCTTCACCTTGATTTAGGTTTAGAAGAAACTAATTATAGACTGAATTTATCATGTTGCTTTGGGTGCAGACTTCTTTGGTGCCCTCAGAGCCAGAGTTTACGATGATGAGGTGAGGAAGTGGATCTCAGGTGTGGGAGTGGAAAGCATTGGAAAGAAGCTGGTGAACTCAAAGGAGGGACCCCCAACATTCGAGCAGCCGCAGATGACCCTTGAGAAGCTGCTCGAGTATGGAAACATGCTTGTCCAAGAACAGGAGAATGTGAAGAGAGTTCAATTGGCTGACAAGTACTTGAGCGAGGCAGCTCTTGGAGAAGCCAATGAAGATGCTATTAAGAGAGGAACTTTCTATGGTTAGCACCCTTAATCCTATTACACGCCTTGATGGGAGGTTTGCCTCTGCCTTCTACACAATTATTGAACGAACAAGTAGGAATTTAACACTGTCTGTTTATTAATTAATTAAGGTTTGTTTATTTGTTGTTGATTTGGTTGCAGGCCAAGCCGCCCAGCAAGTGAACGTTCCTGTTCCTGAGGGTTGCACCGACCCTTCTGCTAAAAACTTTGATCCAACGGCTAGGAGCGACGATGGTAGCTGCCTTTATTAAATTCTAGGTGTGGCGTAGGAGCTGAGATGTCCAACAAAGGATGGGAAGATTGGAATTGGGTGATGTTTTTATGGATTAATTATCCTGTAATTTTGTGTTGTTATGTACACTTTGTTCACTAGTGCTAGTGTTAAGACTTTATTAAAATGCGCGCTTCCTTGATGGGTTTTACCTACTTCTGTTGCATTGCCAATCTCCAATGAATCAAGTAGTCTGTATGTTAGGCTGCGTTTGTTTGCGTTTTAAATGCACACCGGTGTAAAACTCCACTCGGTTGGCGTTTGTTTGCAGTGTAAATAAGGATTAGTGTAAAGGTACAGTTTTACATCGATAAATTTTAAACTGATTGGTGTTGAACTCTACCGATATACTTTTACATCGGTGGACTTTTACACTGCAAACAAATGCAGCCTTAAAGATTAATATTACATTTATTATAAGCTAATAGATTGAATTTAATATATATA